GGGTTACTTATTATAAAAAGTTAGGGGCGTCTAGCGCCTAGTTACTTACTACTCTATAGCACTAACGCTAGAGAGATAAAACTATACTATATATAATAAGGAATTACTTACTATTATTAAGTATCTTAAAAGTTAGTTAGTAGAGTTATAGAGCGTTTATAAGCTATTTATAATATTTATAGACTATAAAAACTTAGAGTACTTTACTAGCCTTTAAAGCTTAAGCAAGTAATAGTACTACTAGGTAGAGGAACTTTTAAAATATTAGTATATCCTATAGTATAGGCCTAGCTATCTTATAGGATAACCTAATACCTTAAGTAGATAACTATAAGATTTAAACTTCTCTAAAGTAATACTATAGTTAGTAATACGCCCTAAATTAATTTAGGTTATAGTATTAGAAGTAGAGGAGGCGTCTAAGTTACTAAAGGGCGCTAGCCTCTTTACTAACCTGCATATGCAGACACTATAGGACAAAGCAGTACTAGAAGATAAGATATACTAAGTATGTCTTAATACAGTTTAGAAAGGCACTAGGTCTTTTCTAGTTTTAGCTAATATAAAGTAATAAATTAGGGACTATATAATTAGCGCACATAGCACTTTACTCTAGAGGGGTGTTATTTAGTTACTAATATAGGAACCCTTTATAACTACTATTATATAGTAAGTATATAAATTAGGTTTAGTAGGATATCTAGGGAAGAATATAATATTTTAAATACTACACTATAACTATTATTAGGATAGAATATTAGGAGATATTACGTAGTATATTTAAAACTACTATTATTATAGTGCTTATATCTCCTAGAAGCGCTAATAGGGTCTATTATAACCTATACTAGTTGCGTTATAATACTAGTCCTAAATATCTATAGATTTTATAGTTAACCTACCTATAAAAGATAATAGTAAACCTTAGTCCCTATTAGTTATTACTAATAGATTATCTAAATATATTTAGCTTAAAGTAATAGTCTTTATAGTAGCTAATTATTATGCAAGGATCTTCTAGGATAACTAGTAGTAGTTCTAGGGCTTCCTATCCTCTATTATTACTAACTAAGGTTTAGACTAGTTAGGATCCTTCTAGATAATATTATACTAGATAATAAAGATAAACTAGTTACTATCTACTATATACTACCCCTAGATAGATAGCAGGATAGAGTAGGCAAACTAAGAAGTATAGGTAGTACTGCGTATAATAGTATACTTTAAGTAGACTAACTAGCCTAATTACCTACTAGCCTGCTAACTTATACTTAATAATAGGGACTCTAGTATAACTAGTATTAGCCTAAATCTACTTTTAAATAGGTATACTATAGACACGCTATAAAAGATAATATTACTACTAGTAAAGCCTAAGAATCCTTATAGAGAAGCTATAATATTCTTATTATACCTATAAAGGGGTATAGAGCTAGCGTAAGCTACTATTATATTCTAATAGTAATAATAATAAGAAGTAATAAACTAGTCTTAATACCTAGCTAAAAAGTTCCTAAAAGGTAATATAGTTTAGTTTATAATATATAATATAAAGATAAACTAACTAAGTAAAAAGTTTAACTAGCTATAGGTTAAGTATAAAGTAATAGAAGTCCCTACTCTACTTATAGTAGTATTAGACTTACTAGGGAACTTATATAAGACTATATATATAGATCTACTAGAGAGAGCTACTAATAACCTGCTACTAAGCTAGAAGCTTTAAGACTTATAACTAGGCCTAATAGTTACTTTAGAAAATAAAGATATAATACTAAATAAATAGGAAGTAGAAGAGATCCTTTATATAAAGAATATAAGAAGAAAAGGGAAGTATTAAGTCCTAGTAAAATAGAAGGGGTATATTAATCTAATATAGCACTTACTAGAGGTAGTATAGGATACTAAAGCTCTAGATAGGTTTAAGGAAAAGTATAAGGATACTATATATAATAATAGCCTAATATATATAAAAACTAGGAAGTAAGGGTAAAAGGAAACTAGAATAATAACTTAGACCTTTATTATAATTAAGAAGTAGAAAGGTATTAGAGAAATCTTTTAATTATCCTTATAATACTCTAAGTAAGTACCCTACTACTAAAGTTTTATAATATAGCTAATAATTAGGTAGTAGTATCTATACTATTACTATCTATAACTAACCCCCCTTTAGCCTCCCCTAAACTATTATTTATATTATTCTAACGCCTCTATATCTCTTAGTAATAGTAGTAACACTTACGTGTAGTGTAGGTAAGGGACAACTTAGTTAATAAGTATAAGTAGTAGTAGTAGTAGCGTTAGGAGGAGGGTAGTGCTTTAATAGCTTACTAATACGTAGTACCCTAGGCCTAAAGAAAATAAACGTTAGAATAGATATAAAGGGAATAAGGGAAAACTAATACTAATAATAAAAGTCTTAATACCTTAGGTAGTGCGCTTAGTAGCACTCTTAAGCCTATTAATATAAAGGTTAGTTTAGGCCTAGGTCTTATTTATATACTAGTTAATACGCTAGAAGGTAATACTAGTAGTAGTAGTAAGCTATATAATATTATTATTACTATAACTACTATATAAAGGCGTAATAGCAAACTAAAAAGGAAATACTAGAGTACTAGTAGTAGATAGAATAATAGCACTAAGCTAATACTAATTATAGGCGCGCAAGTAAGTAGTAAGGGTAAGTAGAGTAATAGTATTATTAGTTTAAGCCCTTAATATAAGATCCTTAAAATAATAGTAAAGCTAGTAGAACTATAGTATAAACTAGTAATAGGTACCTTTAGTAGGTTTCCCTATAAAAGTGCTAAGGGTCCCCTTCTTTATAATATAAAGGTAATCCTCCTAGTAACTATAATAAAACTAAAGCTAGTTATAGAGGGCTTAGTAAATATTAGGATTATTAGTAAGAATAGCTTCTAACTAAGTATAAGTCTTATAGCTATAATAGCAGGACTTATATAAGCGCCCTAGATATAGTTAGAACTTGCTATAAAGGAAATAAAAATTAAGGGGAACTTACTACTACCCTCCTAATAGTTATACTTACTAAAGAGATAAAGCTAGTTAATATACTAATTATAGGGAAGTAGCTTTATAAAGCTACTATTATATTCCTTATTATCTAAGTTACTAGAAATAATAAAGCTACTAAGTAACTAGGTTTAGGGAGATATATACTAAATAAAAAGTTAGTGTAGGAAATATAGGGAGAATATTAGAAGTACGCACCTTATCTTAGTAGGCCTAGTGTAGGGTCTAACTACCTTATAGTAGATCCCTACTACTAGCACTAGTAGCTATAGATAAAGATATAATAGGGACTAGATAGGTAGGATTAATAAGAAAAGATTAGAGAAAGGGCTAATTAGTAGGGAAAATTAGTTATATAATAAAGTAAGTTTAGGAAATTTATAGTAGGGTAGGATAGCTATATTAGAACTTTTATAGTAGGGTACTAAAATAAGTATATAGACGCTACACGCGTGTACTACTTAATATATAGGCCTATTATAAATTAGGAAGAAATATAAAGATATAATAATATAATTAAAAAATATAGTAATAAAGCCTAATATAGATTATAGAGGATAAAGATATAACCCTAGACCCCTAGAAAGACGATTTTACAATAGTTTATAGGGGAAGGTTAGGGGTATATAAAGGGCTTAGGCTTATACCTAAGCCTAGGTCTAACACAAGATAGACTAAGTCTAACACTACTACTAAGCGAACACACTAGACACCTATAAAAAGGCGTAGAGGGCTTACCTCTCCTTTAAGATACTAAATACTATTATTAACGCTTATTGCATTCTCCCTTAAGGCCAGTCTATAACACTTAGGGATTAGAACTTAACTCTAATAGCGCTACTAATCTATACTACCTCTACTATTATAAGAGAGCTTACTAGTCTTTTTACTCTATTTCTACTATAAAGTCTTACCTAGCTTATTCTTTAATCCTATCCTCTTTATACTAGTAATAAGCTTTTACTCTTATCTTATAATAGGCTTAAGAGTCTAATTTATCTCTTTAATCTTAAGAGCTACTTCTCTCTTCTCTTATATAGTCTTAGGGCGCTAGATATAGTATAGGCCCTTATAATTATAAAAAAAGTAGCCCTAGAATATAAACTTAGAGTAGCCCTTTTACTACTTATAAATAATAGTCTTAGTAAAAGCCTTATTAGGTTTTCTCTAGATATAGTAGCTACTATAGTAGTATTTAAGTATAATAGAAGTCTTATTAGACTAGATAATATTCTTCTAGTTCTTTAGAGTCTAGCCTTAATAGGTAAGACACTACTTAAGTCTCTCCTATCTTATCTTCTTTATTAACCTAGGCTTCCTTATTAGCTTTATTTTATTATATCTAGCTACTTTTAAAACTCTCTATACTATAGTAGATAATATATTATATTTATAAAGACTAAGATTACTAGCTATATTAGTATAGCTCTTCTCTCTCTTATATCTATTTTAGCGTACTTATAAAAAAGTAGTATTATAAATAGTATTTTACTTATAAGGGTAGCTAGTATAAGGGGTATCTTTAAGGTACTTAGAAAGGAGTTTTATTATAGGTAAATTAGGCTTAAAGCTATATTAGTAGGCTCTACTATAGATTAAGTTAATAGTATATAGTAAAATACCTATAATAGCACTAATTTAGGTAGTAGATTTACTACTAAAAGGTAACTTTAGAGTTATAATAAGCGTATAAGTATAGGGATTAGTATTAGGAGCTATAGTATAGAGTAAAAATACTAAAAGTTTAAGTATATAGAACTATTACTACTACTATCTATAGCTTTAAAAATAAGTTTATAGGCTAAGAAAGTTAGGCTAATAGATTAGCCGCTAACAAATACGCTAGCAAGAACTTTTGAAAGTCACCTCCGTACATCCCAAATACCAAATCATATCGAATCCATAAGATCTCATAATGAGCTACGATGTTAAGATGGTACCAATTAGTATTCCTGCCAATGATGTGCCCCCTCCCCATGGAACATCTTGTCTCCACCGCTGGTAGGACCGAAGTGCTTCGAGAATCTATCGCGGACCGACACGATCAGGAAGAAGTTGTCCCGTTAGTGAATTTCTCCCTCAAGCAAGTGCTCCATTCCATCCAGCCCTGAGCTCGAAAACGCCACCCCCTGCTTCCTCTGGAAGAATTGGAGACGGTCTCAGGGCAAGGGCAACACCATATGGCGCGAAAAGCGTCGCCAGGTACTTCAAGCCACCTCCTGGCCTGCTGAAAACGCCGGCCGGCCCGCAGACCACTCGTTGTACCTCCGAGTGTTTCGTCTCAATATCTCTCCAAGGAACTGTGGGGCCTTGGTATCAAAGAAAATCCTTGAGGTGTCTACGCCGGGCCATTGACCGGTTTCGTCTCTTCCCGCGCCTGTCTGCGTCCAGAGGAGAATGTAGACCTGGGACGAGCGCGATGTGCTGGCGATCGTGGGGAGGGGGAGGAGTGGAGGAGGCTCTGGGTGAATATTAATTTGTTTGCTACCCAACCAGTCACCACAACAATCTCAGCGAAGGAGATGAACTTACTCAGAACGTACGCCAGCACCTTTTGATCAACCCCTTATCCCTAGTTCTACTTGTACTTGACGTCCACAGTCGCGCGAGCCGCCTGCTCAGCGCACTCGTCGACTTCATCAAGGTTGCTAAAAGCTGTGGAGCTCAAGGCTTCTTTGCTAACCATGTAAGCTACCTTGACTAATGTAGATCGGGTTGTATGTCAAGAAATATGCAGATGCACAAATAGTGGGCAGTTGTGTGGTAGCAACTGTCCAGAGGCAAAAACGTCTCTGTAGAAGGTGAACCCGCGAGCTCCAAATCTCAAAAGGCAACACTCACCACCCACTGTAACCACCACACCACCAACCACATCTTCACTCCAACCGTCCCAATTCTCTAAGAAACCACGAGAGCCCCAGCAACTACACAGCCCCCCACGCGCTGGCATATCCAAGACCATCTGTTCCCAGGACTACCCTGAGGTTTTTCGCCCGGCGATCAACAAACCTTTACTGCTAATCACAGTCACTATATCGTACCTAAACTTAGCCACTCGCACTGAATCCAGTCTTCCTGCAGAGCACAACCAGCCTTTTACAGTATCTTCACTACTCTGCCACATTCGATCTAAAAACAGCAAAAACTTATTCACACCAACACAAGCATCACCACCCCATACCAGATTCACTAGACCAACTGAATCATACCGCCAAAGCTTATACCTCTCCAACAGCGCGAACCCAGCCTCTAGCACACCAGCCTCGTACACATAGCATGACGATCGACTCCTTCTACCAGCCTGACCACCTCAGATAATATGTCGTCAAAACCCCAGTTACATACCACACCATCCCCAGCATAAATTTAAATTCGCCCAGCTACTTGAAATTTAGCAACAGCATCAACATGCCATTCAAACCACTCCCTCGCATCTCCACACAAGCGTCTCGCAGGCACAGCGTGAGAGCTGTGGTCCTGCACGACGGGCGCTGTTGCTCTACGGGCTGGAGATACTACGGGATGGTCTGGATGCGTGGGATACGGGTGCGAGAAGGAGGGCGGGAAAGGTAGGGTGTGTGGAGGTATACTGTATCTAAAGGGAGGAGAAAAGAAGCTTTGAGGTTTTCTACCAGGCTGAGAGCGGGTATGAGAGACAAGGGATAGTAAATCACATTGTATTTCCTTGTGCCTTGCGGTGGAAGTAGTATAGCGAAGTCATAAATGACAATGACGTTGATTCAAACCGCAGCAGTAGTACCGTAGAAGATACATCTACCCATACACCCTCCCTTTACTCTAAATTATCATAAACCATCTTCTCAACCGAAAACCAAGCCGGAATGACCTTGGGATCACCATTCGGAAGAACCTGTCATGTACCGTCAGTCTCGTTCTCGTCCTTACCCGCCTCTCCCCCGTCCCCATCCACCCAACGGAAAGAAAAAAAAGGCAAAAAAAGGCAAAAAAAAAAACTCACCTGACTCCCTAAAAATCCGGCTACACCCTTCTCCCGATCCATCCACCAAAAACAATTGGCTAGCCCCATCCACCACAGCGTGTTTGCGCCGCGGCCTGTGGATCCTGGGGCTATGGTGAGGAAGCCGCCGTAGGCCCAGCCTTGTGCTGGGTTGTTGGGCTGGGGGTAGAATTCGGAGGCTGGGTTGACGAGGAGGGGGTTTGCGGGGATGACGCTGGCGCGGGCGAAGTTGGGTCTTGTGGGGAAGTTAGTTGGATTACATATATATATATATGCGTGTGTGTGTTTGGATGGGGGAGGGGAATAGAATTAAGAACAAAGAGATATCAGAAATAAATGAATCAAAACATACTCATCAGGAATCTGGTTCTCCCACAACATATCCACACTCTCCCTCTTCAAGATGCTCGCCCCCGTCGTCGGACTCGTCCCATTGTTCAATATGGCCGCCAGTATCTTGACATACTCCTTTGGTTTGGCAAACAGGCCCGCGCCTCCCGACTGCATGAAGCGATCCTGCTGGTCCTTTGTGGACTGTGCTAGCGGCCCGTTGTGCAGATGCTCACGCTCCTTGAGCTGGCCGGTGCTGCCATCGCGCTGATGCATGTGCGCGAGATATTTTTGCGCTTCTGCAGTGGGGAACATGGAGATGCCGTCGCGGGGGATGCCGAGCGGGGTGAAGATGTGCGAGTGGAAGTATTCGCCGAGTGTTTGGTTGGTTACGCGTTCGACGATTATGCCGGCGAAGTCGATGTTGACCTGGGAGGAGGGGTGGGTTTAGTTCAGGTACGTGTATGTATTTGTTGGTTTCTTTTCCTTTTCGTGAATTTGAGGGGGAGGAGAGATGGGCGGTCAAGGGGTTACACTCACGCCGTACTCCCATTTCGAACCAGGTTGGTTAACTAGGTTGAGCTTGAGAAAGTTCTCTTTGCTACCATCTGATCCCTCAAACTCGAGGCCATTGGTATGCGCACGCGGGTCAAAGAAACCGTATGCAAAGCCAGCCGTATGCGACAGCAGCATTCGGACGGTGACATCTTTCTCCTGTGGAACGCCGTTCACGCCGTCCTCGAAGACCTTCTTCTCGGAGATCTCTGGGATCACTTTCTTCACGAATGCTGTGTCGTCGAGGGGAATCTTGCCTTGCTCAACGAGTTGCAGTACCGCAATAGCAGTCACAAGTTTCGTGCAAGAGGCAATCCAGAATATAGTGCTGTCTTCGTCCATGGATTCAGGGGAATCTACGCCCAGTTTACCAGCAGCATGTTTGACGAGGGTGTTGCCCGACTTGTCGACGGCGTGGAAGACGAGCCCGGGTGATCCATCATTGGCGAATTGGTCGAGGACTTGTTTCACGCCTTGGACGCCCTGTGTAGAAAGTGGCATGGTGAGTATGTGGTTTATTAAGGAAAAAGCAAATGGGATAAATCAAGTAGAGGACCAGGTCAAGCAGAGCTGACAGACGTTCAACTTGAACTTCGCATTGGACTCCACATATTAGCTTCAAGGCTACAGACTTGGTCCCAGCCGCGCTTCTGTATTTCCGAGGTTAGACAACAGACTGCGTTATGCGGGTGTGCTAGTTTGCGGCAACTTGCCGTATTACTCACTATGGCACTATACAGTAGTGCTGCCTGATGAGACACTCATTAGTCAGCACACAGAAAGAAGAATCATGTTTTGAAGTGGAAGCTGGAGAGTATTCATAAGTGTTGAATGGTACGAGCCAGAGAATCATGACATTGGCTGATTGCTATGCAGTGTTTACAGTGTCCGTCTCGAGATTTTGTTCTCACAATCTCCAAGGGGACCAAAGTGCAGCGGCACTGATCTGGAGACGGCTACCGGTAACACTTACCCCGCAGCGGGGCAGCTTTGGCGTCGCTGGACTGTGTGAGTGAATATCGGGGGCTGAGCTCCGACTCAACTCCACAGGGTCTTCTAGTCCGACTAAGCTATTAGCGCAGTCTGCAACATCCATCGAAAGAACGTGGGACTGGTCACTTGAAGCTTTGACATGAGTTTGGCGTTCGGGCCTCAGTCTCGCAGCACAATGTCAAGTGTTCTGTCATCGTCGACTTGGAGCAGCATCATCTACCACTAGTGTCCCCCTCATGTTTGCAGAAACAGTCTCAACTGTATGCCTCAACCTCGCTTGAGCATCGTCTTCAGCTCCTTCAGACCGGCCATGACCAGAGGCACAGCAACTGGGCCTAATAGGGGCAAATAAACTGCTACCTTGTGTTCATCAGGAAAGTAGACTTGCCCAACCATAGAGCGCTCGAAAAACGCCTTCTCGGCCTCGACCTCTGCAGCTCGAGCGTGCTCTAAAGCGCGCGGGAAGCGGCCATCTTTGAGGAAATTGCACGCCTGTTGTAAGTGCGAGATTGCATGCTGAACCGACTGAGCGACGTTATCGGGCACAGGAATAGAGGGGAGTTTGGTGTAAACCTGAGCGAGTGCACCCAAGGTGGAAGAAGCTGAGAAAATGAGCGATGCAACCCGAACGCGCTCAAGCGTCGAGATACGAAGAGGCAATGAAGCAGGATATTGTGGCAGGCCAAATAAAGATATAAGCTGATTCGAGAAGCTGTGCATTGCAGGCGCAAGTGCATCAGCTTTCAGCTCGGATGGTGTACCTGATCCTGGATCAAGGTTCAAAATATGCACCCCGCCCCACTGAGGAATGAGCCAGCTATCTGCCAAGTTTTCTTTGACTAGTAATGGTGTCTGGTTTTCATGCGGCACATAGAGGATGAAGTTGACGGTTGGACCCTCGCCAATGCTAGGACTGAGGGGCCACTCCGCAGCGTTAATGAAGCCACTCAGGTCTTCTTTGCGTAACGTCCATGCTTTGAGGTCTTCGTCATAGTCAGGCAGGCGTACGGATGGGGAGAAGGTAGCGTACAGCTGAACCTGTGTGTCCACCGTGAAGTTGCTGATAGCCGAGAGTGATTCGAGCAGGGGCGTGAGGTAGGTGCGCAATGCAGCTTCGATGTCCCAAGAGGATGGGGTGTACGAAGGTGTGAACAACGAGAATGTTAGATGATATGTCGGTGCGTATTTCAGCGCTCGGGTCGATTGCCTTTCTAACTCGGCCGAAGTCTGCGCAGACAAGACGCTGCTTTGCGCAGCATGTGCATTGGAAGTGGCCGAAAGCACGTGGATCAATTGACTTCTTTCTTCGGCGAATAGTTGGTGGAGCTCCTGAGCAAGGAAGCTTGCGAGTACAGATCCTGTTGAACCTTGAGCAGGAAGCTGGGCTGGGGAGTAGTAGACGTCCAGCAGGGGCATATATGGCTGCAGGTGTGATCGCGGTGTTGTGCCAGTCTCGACAGGAATCAATCGTACCGACAAGGCAATATCCTCCCCATGGCTCTGAATGCTCGTTCCATCACTAATGACTTGCTGGGACGCGTTGGCGGCAGGAGGATCGGCAAGTAAGAGCCGCAGCTGATGTGCAGAGAAGTCGTTGAGTTCATCGAGGGCGTGCTGCGCCGTGCGAAGAAGCTGTTGGGCGTCCGACTCGTGGACAGGGGCTTCAATAGCAATACGTAGGGGGAAGACGGGTTTGCAGACCTGGGAACATCATTCTGTCAGACTTGAGCACTGGCCGGCGTATAGGAGACTCACCTGGCCATCGGCCCACTCTGTCATCTCCTGTAGTGGCAACGCGGCCCTGTAGACGGCTGTCGTCTTCAGCCATATTGGCAGTCCCAGGAGGATGACCACGGCCCAAAAGGAGAGGATAGTAGTTCGTCGTAGGAAGATGCTTTCTTTTGTTTCTGGCGGGGGCCTTTTGGGTGACTTTGCAGAGCTCGGCACTGCTGCCGGTATTTCTGGAGCCATGTGGTCCGATTTGGCGACCAGCGACGACGCGTCGGTGCTTGCTGTTGACGCCATGCTGCTGGAGGTTTGATCGAAGTGGCAGCTGTCCACATGTTTGGTTGCGAAGTGGACCGTGCCCATTTCCTCTTAGCACTCTTCTCAGATGAGGTTTGCAATACTTAATACCTACATCCAAGGTTCCCCCCCACCTACCTACCTACTATATAGACTAGACATATCAAACAATGTCCTTGCCATGACAGCTATGGAGAGTTTGCGTAGTTGGTTCATGCACGTGATGTCGATGCTGGACGGGTCTTGGCAGATCGAACCGACGACTCCCGCGATCGCGTGTGTGTGTGTGTGTGTGTATACATGGATATACCTACCTACCTCTTGATGATCAGGCTCATATAAGCACATAGTTTCACGCTTATTATATGATTGTCACGACTGATTTCCTTGCCAAGTTTTCACTTTGGCGCGTTCAATTGGAATTTGGAGAGCACAAGGCCATCCATTACTCAGTGTAGAGAACCGCTGGTCTGTGCACGAGCTCAGAAGGGCTGGGAAAGGGCCTGAGGGTCTCTCTCATTGCACTGGTGGTCGACTCTCCCACGCGCCACCCTTCATGACAATGCACTGGACGACGGGCCATGTCTATACCTACAAATCATAACCTTCTCTCTGGCCCACAGATGAAGTCATGGATGGATCCTGGATGTGTCCGCCTCGAGGGATGCCTTGCAATCAAAAGCAAAGGTTTGTTTGTGACCGTTTCAAAGCAAGGGTCGAGGGCGCTAACGGCTTCGATCAACGTTCCTGCCCCCGCTGTGCCCGCTATGCGATCTGCTTAGAGCCATTACTGGCCTGTGCGAATGCGGGGTTTGGGCATCTGGGGGAAGGAGCTCGAATGAGAGTGACGCGGGACTGGCACGAGATCCCAACCTTGGGAAGCTACCCCTCTCAGGTGACTCTCGTCTCACCCTCCACAAGTCCCCCCCCCCTCTCCCCCCACCCCAGGCTATCCTCTTAGCATTCGTTATTTCTCTCACACGACAAAGTCCTTTGTCAATCCTACTCTTCTTTCCTCTCCTCTCCTCTCCTCTCCTCTCCTCTCCTCTTAGCTTTCCAGCCGGACTATGGTGAAACGCATGAC